AGGTTGTATCAGTTTACCATATTTTGTTTTTCTGTAATGTTGACTGACTCCAGCACGTGCAGTTCTTGCTACCTAACAGTATTTACTAGTTTGCAGAGTATTAACATTTTGTTTGTGTTTGGATTACAGAAAAACAAAATATGGTAAACTGATACAACCTTCAAGACTGTTTAAAATATTTTCCTCACCATTTTCAACTTTGCTTTTTGGATGGGGTCCACTGAAAGCCAGAAACTTGCCACTGATGATCCAGTTAATATCACCATTTTCTACACGCTGCAGAGAAGAAATGCTCATCACGAACAAGACTTAGGTGATGTCACTTAGAGACTTAAAAGTTCTCAAGTCTTTCATGTGAGAAAAACAAATGCGGCTGAAGGTACACATTTATGTACTTTGGGAACTGTGCCCTTTCCCTATATTTCCCACATGCTCAACCTTCAGCAGCCAGAAATGAATAGCTACACTGGTTATGATGTCCAAAGAATTTATGATCAATGAGGTACGGATTGGAGAAAACAGATCACAGGGAGGCATGTGGAAGCAATGTGGATGTGAATAAAGCTTATGACCAATAAAGCTTATGAGCAAAATATTTGTGTAGGAGGGAAAAAAAAACGAGAAAAGGTCAGGAGATTACCCAGAATGAAACAAAGTTATCCCCGCTACATAACACCTCCTTTAGTAAATTACACCCACCATACAATCTACCTGTTATCTCCAACATACGAAGTGCAATTAATTTTCCACAGTAATAGAACTACAATTATTCAAAGTACACAACAGTTTGGGGGGCAGGCGAGGAAGGGGAGAACTTGCCTCATAGTGCTCATATTCATCCACATCAAATTTTTCAAAATTTAGAAAGCCATGTTGGAGGGCCTGAAAAATAGTTTACATAAATCAAACATTTTCAAATAATTTGTGCTATGTATAATAAATCAAAAATAATTTAGACAGTTTTAAAATCTAAAAGCACTCTGCCTCTAACTTAAACTTATTTGAAAAGACAGCAATGCGCCGGCATCTCCGGGCACTACAATCAAGCCTACCCCAGCTCAGACCCTCCTTCTCCCAGACCTGCAAAGGACCGCTCCTGTTTTTTATTCTTCCTCGACTCCATTTTCTCCCCCTTGGTCCAGGAACTCCCTACCTACGTCCGTGACACCACCCACGCCCTCCACCTCCTCCAGAACTTCCAATTCCCCGGTCCCCAACACCTCATCTTTACCATGGACGTCCAGTCTCTATATACCTGCATTCCCCATACAGATGGCCTAAAGGCCCTCCGCTTCTTCTTGTCCCGCAGGCCTGACCAGTCCCCCTCCACTGACACCCTCATCCGTTCAGCCGAACTTGTCGTCACCCTCAACAACTTCTCTTTCAATTCCTCCCACTTCCTACAGACAAAGGCGGTGGCCATGGGTACCTGCATGGGCCCAAGCTATGCCTGCCTCTTTGTAGGTTACGTGGAACAATCCCTCTTCCGTACCTACACTGGCCCTAAACCCCACGAGGAGCTCGAATAGTTCATCAACTTCACCAACACCTTCCACCCCAACCTTAAGTTCACCTGGACCATCTCCAATACCTCTTCCTGGACCTCTCTGTCTCCATCTCTGGCAACCACCTAGAAACCGATATCCATTTCAAGTCCACCGACTCCCACAGCAACCGAGAATACACCTCCACCCACCCACCTTCCTGCAAAAATGCCATCCCCTATTCCCAATTCCTTCGCCTCCGCCGCATCTGCTCCCAGGATGAGGCATTCCACTCCCGTACATCTCAGATGTCCTCCTTTCTCAAGGACTGCAACATCCCCCCCTCAGTGGTTGAGAACACCCTCGACCGTGTCTCCCGCTTTTCCTGCAACTCATCCCTCACATCCCCTCCCCGCAACAACAACCAAAACAGAATGCCCCTCGTCCTCACGTACCACCCCACCAACCTCCGGATCCAACGCATCATCCTCTGACACTTCCGCCATCTGCAATCCAACCCCACCAAAGACATTTTTCCCTCCCCACCCTTATCTGCTTTCCGGAGGAACCACTCTCTCCTGGACTCCCTTGTCCGCTCCACACTCCCCTCCAGCCCCACCACACCCGGCACTTTTCCCTGCAACTGCAGGAAGTGCTACACCTGCCCCTACACCTTCCCCCTCACCCCCATCCCAGGCCCCAAGAAGACTTTCCACATCAAGCAGATGTTCACCTGCTAATGTGGTATACTGCATCCGCTGTTCCTATTGTGGCCTCCTCTACATCAGGGAAACCAAGAGGAGGCTTGGAGACCGCTTTGCAGAACACCTACGCTCAGTTCGCAATAAACAACTGCGCCTCCCAGTCACGAACCATTTCAACTCCCCCCTCCCATTCCTCAGACAACATGTCCATCCTGGGCCTCCTGCAGTGCCACAACGATGTTACCCGAAGGTTGCAGGAACAGCAACTCATAATCCGCTTGGGAACCCTGCAGCCCAATGGTATCAATGTGGACTTCACAAGCTTCAAAATCTCCCCTCCCCCTACCGCATCCCAAAACCAGTCCAGCTCGTCCCCGCCTCCCTAACCGGTCCTTCCTCCCACCTATCCCCTCCTCCTACCTCAAGCCCCACTTCCATCTCCTATCTACTAACCTCATCCCGCCCCCTTGACTTGTCCGTCCTCCCTGGACTGACCTATCTCCTCCCTACATACACTCACCTCTACTGGCTCCATCCCTGCCTGTTTGACCTGTCTGTCTCCTCTCCACCTATCTTCTCCTCTATCCATCTTCTTCCTGCCTCCCCCTCTCTCCCTATTTATTTCAGAACCCCCTTCCCCTCCCCCATTTCTGAAGAAGGGTCTAGGCCCGAAATGTCAGCCTTCCTGCTCCTCGGCCTGCTGTGTTCATCTAGCTCTACACCTTGTTATCTCATCACCTATCTGGTTGGCTCTTAATCTTTTGAATAATATGCATCTTTCAAGCACATTGGGAAAATTTCCCACGTTTAAAGGAAAAACACAGTGTATGGAAATAATGTCATAGAATTTCAGAGAGGTGTTTGTATAATTGTTCTCATACTGTCACAACAAAGTTTTAGGTTATAGGCTAATGTGAAACTTTTGATCTTCTAGTACTATTTAAGATACACAGAGACAAGATACTTCAGCTCCAGAAGTTCCAATGTTCAGAGGACCACAATATGCACAGTTGGGGGATAGAGGCCACAGGTCAGAGGGTCAGAAGGCAGGGAGCCGGATCAACAGAAAACAAAAAGGTAGTGCAAGTAGAAATTTTTTTTTAAAACTATTTTTACGTTTCTTGGATTTACCATACAGGAATTGACCAATGTAAACACTTCAATTTACAGGGTATAATTTGAATATGAAAAACTGTACAGAATTTAGCTCGAGTTTTAACACCGATTCCGGTAGAAACCTACGTTTTACTTAAGGTTGTGATTTTCTGAAACACAGACAGAAATTTAAGTGAGAATTTCTTGTGCAGTTTCCCGAAGTTTTCTGTATGCTTTCATGGATCATAGGAGACTTATCCCCATTTGTCCTTAAATAATGGAGGCTGGAGGCATGCATTGATGATTCACATTGGCTGTCCATTATCTGGATGGACTAGTTAAGTTCATTTATTTGTAAAAATATGTGAAAAAAGGACATGAAAATATCGATTGTAGCTGGAACGTAGCAAGCTTAATAGTGAAAAAGAGAATCCTCATGACCTCTAGGGCTTGTTTTCATATTAACAATGGGAACCGACAGTCCTATGGCATGTTACCTCACTCATGCGTGAGGCAAGACAGGAATCACACCAATTACAAGTTTCATATTAACCTGGAGTGAAGATAGAGGGATTTGTCGAGTAAAAGAGAAAGATTTGAACTTTTCCAAGTTCAGAGAAAAAACACTTTTGAAACTGAAATCTATTCAAATTCCTGGTACATAGTGTTCACTTACTGCTAAAAACTGAATTGTTTACGAAATGCTTACTTACATCATTGTCTCTTTCTGAATGCAAGTTATTTACATCATGACATTTATGAAAAACAAAAACAAAGTGTAATTAAAAGCTGCCAATGTTTGAATGGATGGACCGCTTACCTGATTAATTGCATGCAAACAATCTAGAATGGTTAGGTGATATGTGGAGTTTCCAAAGGAGGCATCTCTACAAAATAAAATTTAGCAAAATTAATTTATCAACAAAATATCATTTTACTGCAGGAAGAGTTGGGATTCAAAATGGACAGTTATAGTTGACAGAGGAAATATTAAGATATGCAGCTAAGCTTATTCAATATCAGTTGCTAAAAATTACAAGTTAATAGCAAAGCAGGGTATAAATTCTGAACTTCAATACATTTTAATGACTTAATAGGCAAATGCAACACAGGATTCAGTACTGATTTAGACAAATTATAAATGTCTTGCATTCAACAAAAAAATAATCAGTTCCATGAGTTAATCATGGGTATGGTTCACTGGCTACAACAATAATCAGTTAGGATTCCCTGATCACTCTCCGGGCTGGGTCTGAGTGAGATGCTCTTCGGAGGGTTGGTGTGGACTCAATGGGCCTAATGGCCTGCCTCCATGCTGTAGGGATTCTACCAATCTATGAAAAGACTTCAAGGTTTCATGATATTTTCTCCCCATGAGACATTCATTACCTTCAGGTGAGGGAAGATGGAAGAACAAAAATATTCCAAATTGCAACCTAAGTGCAAAATTTAAATAAATCCACTACAACTAAAGCAGTAAAACAAGATCAAACGTAGCAGACACTGTGAAAATCTGAAATAAAAACAAAGTGCTGAAAATACTACACAGACCTGGAAGCATCTGCAGAGTGAGAAACAGTTAAATGCTTCAAGTCAAATAAGACCTCCCTTCAATCTAAAAGAAGACAGAAAAAAAACTGCAGATGCTGAAAGTCAGAGACAAAACCAAATTGCTGGAAAATCTCAGCAGGTTTGGCTGCACCTGTGGTCAGAAAGCAGAGTCAATATTTCGGGTCCAGTGACCCTTCTTCAGAACGCTAAAGAACTCACATTCAACTCGAAATGTTAACTAAGCATTTTCAACACTGTTATTACTATAACCAACACCACATTTGTTGCATGCCTGACATTATAGAGTCCATTACAAACAAAAGTCACAGAATCACAAAAGTATGTTGCAGAAGGAGGCCATTCGGCCCACTGTCTGCATCAGCTCTCTGAATAAGCATCGTATTCGAGTGCCATTCTCCTGAATATCCCCCCATATTCTTCCACATTGGATGATTATTTAACTAGAAATAATGTCCTTGAATACCTCGATTACACCTGCCCCTGCCAAACTTCCAGACGGTGCGTCCCGGATTTAAACCGCTCATCATGTGAAAAGTTTCTCTCTTATCTCACATTTGCTTCTTTTACAATTTACTATAGATCTGTGCTCTTTCGGTATTGATCTTTTTACACGCATAAACAGTTTTTCTCCTATCTGGTCTACCCAATCCCCTCATGTTTTTGAAAACTTGTATCATATCGCTTCGGAGTTGCCAATCTCTCCAATCTATCCTCATAATTGAAGTCTCTCATCCCTGGAACTAATTTTGTTAACCTCTTCTGCACTTACTCTAATGGGTTCACATCCTTACTACACAGAGGCACCCAGAATTGTACGCAATATTCCAGTTGAGGTCTAACAACAGAGCAATCAACCCAATTCTGAAATTGATAAACAAATACGTTAACAATTATTAAAATTAGACTATTTGGCAAATTGGAGCAATACATGTTAAACTGCAGGCTAGATTATCAACCAAACATCAAGAGCATATTCTGGACTGATCTGGGTGCAAGGCTTAAATGAGACCGATGGGAAATTGAATAGTTTTACCTCAAAATAATTTATGCCTTGGCTAAATTTTGCCCTGTGGGGTAACATCTTAAGACAAACATTTTGACTTCATATGCAATTTGGGTTGTAGATCATAGAGATAGAGATATCAATGCCATAGATTAACAATTAGAATGTGCACTCATGATAGTAGTTTGGTAGTAGAAAATTTAGGGAATTGTTAAAAATAAACATTTTGTCAAAAGCTCTTCATCTTGCACTCATCAGGATAATAAATATCAAAGTAGATGTAAAACATGTATGCTGCGTGAGACAGAAGTAGTGCTGATTGCTTGGCAACTGGAATCTGATAGAGGCACTGCCATGGGTAATCCCATGGGTAACCAGTCAATACTGACTGATAGTTAACTGCCAAGCCTTGTTTAAATTTTATACAAGGCACATTGACTGAGTCTTAGATACGTACAGCACAGAAACAGACCATTCCATCCAACTTGTCCATGCTGACCAGACACACTAAATTAATTCAGTCCCATTTGCTAGCATTTGGCCCATATCTCTCTAAACCCTTCCTACTCATATACCCATCCAGATGCCTTTTGAAAATGTTGTAATTCGACCAGTTCCACCCTTAGGTCCGTTTTAAAATCTTTCCCTTCTCACGTTAAACCTATGCCCTCTAGTTTTGAACTCTCCTATCCTGGGCTATTCACCTTATCCATGCCCCTCGATTTCATAAATCTCGATAAAGGTCACCCCTCAGCTTCCGACGCTCCAGGGAAAATAATCCCTGCCTGTTCAGTCTCTCCCTATAGCTCAAATCCTCCAACCCGGGCATCATCCTTGGAAATCTTTTCTGAACCCTTTCAAGTTTCACAACATCTTTCCTATAGCAGGGAGACCAGAATTGAACATGGTATTCCAAAAGTGGCCTCAACAATGTCTCGTACAGCCGCAACATGACCTCCCAATCCCTATAATCAATACACTGGTTGAGTATTACCTGAAAAATGAACCAGAGAATGCCTATCACTTATTTTATTATGCTGAAACAAGTGTAGTGTGTGGACATGTTCTTTCAGTTCAGTATTGCAGCAATACTTAGGACAGTATTAAATATTCAATGGTTACAAAAATTAATCTTAAAAATTATGTTTTTTAAACAATCTCACCAAAATATTCTGTTCACATACTTCACATCTTCAATTATTTAATTTTTTCAATGGTCACCAACCTACCAAATATGCCAGGAGTTTACTACAGGGCAAAGAAAGGAGATAGGCCAAAGTATATTTCAGCCAGAACTGGAGATCAAACCTGTTGATGTTATTCTGAAGTACACAATAACCATCTAGTTGATTGAGCTAATAGCCCTTACATTTTAAAGTGGGTCTCATATGCTAATGTAAAGACAAATGTTACATAGCAAAATTACTTTGAACTCTGAAAACTACGCAATATCTAGTACTCGCCAATTTTATGAATCAATTTAGGAACCACAAACAAAAAGAGATTTTAAAAAACAGGTTTTGGATATTTTACTTTACACATGAATTACGAGAAGTAAATCATTCAGCTTGTTAGTCTGCCTGCCATTCAGGGGCTGACCTGCCCCTGTCTCAATTCTTTTTCATGCCAACTCATCCTAACCCTCAACTCCATATATTTAAAAACAAAAACTACCTCTTTAATTCCTTTCGGTGATCTAGCATCCACAATTCTTTAGGGCACAGAATTCCAGATGTTTGCTACTCTCTGGAAGAAGAGATTCCTTTGCATCTCAATTTTGAATTAGTGTCCCCTTATTCTGCAACTGTGCCTCTAGTTCGAGATGCCCCCACTGGTGGAAAAAATCTTCTCAACATTTACCCTGTCAAGGCCTTTCAGATACTGGTATGTTCCAATAAGGTCACCCTTCATTTGTCTAAACGGTAATGCATAAAGCCCTAACCTAACATGGCTATTCCACAATTCCACTCAAACCAATTCTACATTATAATCTATTTCACCTATATCACCACTAACCATCACATCAATATCTTTACTGTCAAAGCTACCCAGCTTCTTTTCCTTTTTGTCTATTCTTCTGGAACATCAGATACAATTAAATATCGGGTTCCCAGTCTTGGTCACACTATAACTATGTCTGTGTAATTGCTATCACGTCATAGTCACTTATTCAAATTCATGCTGGTCAACTTATCACTCCTTTTTCACAAATTATGAGTACAAAGAGCCTTAAGCTTTGACTTTTAACCATTATTGCTTACTCGGATTCTGTGCACTCATGTCTATTTTACATTTCTTCCTGTTACACAATTATTGTTTGCGTCTTCACTACCTTGAACCTCTGCTCTCAATCCTTTTTGAATATTTAAACTTCTCTTCAATTGAACCCTCCTCCTAATTAGTCGTAGATAGGGCTATAAACTAAGGCAGCAGAAATAAGTGAAGGACTAGCAATTTGGGCTGAACAGACATAACTGGAGAGACCAGGTACTTCATGTAGTGAGATAAAGGAAACACAGTCATACGGAATAAAATGAATTTGAGAAGGAGGGAAAAATGAAAAACCTGGAAAAGGAAGTCCGAAGAACAATAGAAATTTAAGAACAGGAAAGGGAGCTGGAATAGAAAAAGGACGGCAATGGAAATGAGCAGAAGCGGAGACACCCTTAGACTTACAGATGGAGAATGGACAACTGTTCATCAGATAGTAGTACTGCCTAGATGCCCTGAGGTGACGTTGTGAGTACTACTTGAAAGTCTGAGGGCAGAACGTGCAGGAATACAGAAAACTCAACCATCAATAAACAGGCATTTTACCCAGCCAAAACTTCAGAAGGATATTGTGCAGTACTATAAAACCAGATCATACAAGAAAACACCAACATATAATCAAACCAGCATCTTTAGCACCTATATCAGTGTTTGAATATCTAGTCAGATATTAGAAAAGTGGGCCATTACTCAAAACTGAGGCAGGATATCAATACATCTTTAAAATTCTGAATATGACAAACCCACTTCACAGAGGGGCATTCCTTTGAGGACAACTGCTTTGTCCAAAGAAGGACTGTTGCAGAATTGATGGATAAATTCCAACTAAGAGAACAAAGATCAGGTAGAAATCAGTAAGTGGATATATGAAGAATTATGAGAATTTTTGTGTGGTCTCCAAAGTACCATGTTTGTGCACCCAACAGTCCAACAAAGACAACAGGTTTGAACATAGTCAACCTAGAGGGGAAAGGAAGCCTAATGATACAGAATTAAACAAAGACAGACTAGAAACACTTGGTTTAAATTTATAGCCTATCT